CATTGTATTTCCAACTAAATAATACAATCTCCTACACTTTTCTTCATTTATTAGAACTGTTAGATTTCAAAGAAGGCCAATAAAACATTGCATTGCTTGAATATAGTAATTACATCATATTTATAGACTAAAACAGACCAACCTATTCAAACTCAAAGTCAAATTCTTAGACTCTATCTAGGACTCTATGTAGTTTATCTAAATCCATCTCAAACTCTATCATAACATAACAAGCTTAATCCATATCCTTAATATGCCCCCTCAAACACATGGGGATCAATGACCATCATGTGTTTGACCAAAAACAATTGTAAGTAGATGATGATGGCTTCCAACACTTCAAGTCCTGATGTGATTCAAARGATGTTTAAAATATGGCATTACTTCAACCTTACTGCAATGATGGTGATGTGTTTGCATCTCCCAGCTATGATATGATGTGGTAAGGAGGTGGCAATGTGCATATATTCAAAACTTTAAGTTGTGGTAACAACAATGTAGCAAGCAGTCCAGTTATGAAGATGGTGTGGCAAGTAATGGATGATTGGCTATGACAATCGCGTATCATAATGACAAGAACATGTTGCTTCTTCAAAAAGAAAAGAGCCTCTATGGGCTTGTACTGGAATGAAATTGGGCCAACACGGGCCAGATTGAAGTTAGGCCAAAACAAGCCACCAATAGACCTCATTGGGTCAACTAAGATGCCTTAATGGGCTGGCTTTTGGAGCCTATCTGAAATGGGCCAACAATGGCCATATACGAATAGAAATAAAGAGGGAGACAAGTAGAAGAGAAAGAAGAGAGAGGTAAAGTAGGTAAGTTGTGTAGCAAGAAGTCCAATAAGAGGGCAAATGAGAGGACTATACACGAGGATGAATGATCAATGAAGTAGTAGGAGGGTAAGAAAAGGCAAGGAAGGGGTAAATCTGTTTCTGAGGATGATATAATTGAAGACCCCAGTAGCAAGAAGTCGATGAGGGTAACGTTAGATGCAAAAGGTTTTCGAACCAATAGGATCCAAAGTTATGTTGGTATAGGGACTTGAAATCTAATAGGTGAGCCTGTCTCTGAAAGTCAATAAATAGAAAGATGGGAGAAACTAAAAGTAAAACTAAAAATAGAACTAGAAGAATAAAAATAGCAACAATATTAGGAAATAGGAACAAAGGAAACTAAAAAAAAAAAAAGTGATTGAATGGGAAACATAATAAGTAAACGGAGAGAGCAGACCTGGCGAGTGGCTAAAATGGTGAAGAGAACCAAGTGACTAAATGGGAAATCTAGTATGTAAACAGAGACAACGGGCCCAACGCCGGAAACATAGGAAGCACGGTGAGAGGTCTCTAGGTTTAGACCTTTAGCTCTGATACCATATTAGACCTCAAAGAAGACCAATAAAATATTGCATTGCTTGAATATAGTAATTACATTATATTTATAGACTAAAATAGACTAAACCTATTCAAACTTAAACTCAAACTCTTAGACTCTATTAAGACTCTTATGTATTTTATCTCAATCCATCTCAAACCCAATCATAACATAACAAACTCAATCCATATCCTTAATAAGAACCATACTGTTGCACCAAATGAAATATAAACAAAGACAAGAAAACAAGTAGCACAAAAAATACAAAGAATATGTGGTTAAGCATTACTGCCTACACCCATGAGAGAGATGAAATTATTTTTCATTGTGAAAAAAGAGAAACAGTACATGATACATTGTGATTTGCCGCCCCAAACAACCCTTATGCACCCTTTCCCCTCTTCCTCTTTCAACCCGAAGAACACTTACAAGTAGACCTATTCATGGGCCAAGTAACCTAGCAAGCTTGCTCAAATCGGCTTACTTTAAAGCCCGTGGGCTCATGCTCGAGTTGTAAGTATTGGGTTCAGTTCTTTTCAGGCTGGGCTTGGACTTTTTGAATAAGCCTGGCTCAAGCTTAAGCCCAACTTGATAATATGATAACTAATAATAATAATAATATATAAGTAATAACTTGTATTACTATTTTGTGTGTGTCTTATTTTAAGCAACAATGGTTTTGATGTGCAAAATGTGTGATTAGATATGAACAAATTAAAAAGTATAAAATTAGAAGATGGAATTAAAATATTATATAACGTACATCGGGATTTCGGTTTTATATTAGGGTCGGGGTCAAGAATAAGCCCAATAATCGCTACAACTTAGGCCTCAACAATTTCTATTAGTAAGTGATAAAGCCTGGGCTGTGATGTGAAGATTTATAAGAGAAAAGAACCCGCTCTCAAGAGTACCCTTTTCTTTCAACTGCTTTTTCTTTCCTCTTCCAAAAGATATTAAAAACAACAACAGTCATTTTCCTTAAAGCTTGAACCTACAAAACAAACCTTTTACATGCAAAAGCAAAACTCACATTAATTTAAAAGACACCAACTCTTATATTGCAATCTAACATACGTAATGGAAAATTAATATTATTTGACTACTTTATACAGTTCACCATTTTCTTTTTAATTTACTGGGGTTGATGTGAAAAGGATTCTTCCATCGTTCTGGAATGACGAGTTAAATGGTACAAGCAGGTGGGCCAGTGACAGGTTGCAAAAATTGGCTTTTATTACTTATTAAATGGTGTCAACATTTGCCCGCTACTTAAAAGACCATGTTCACACCGTCCTCACATCCACTTGCAATTATCCATTAAAAATATCTCATCATGGATAATATAAACATACAAGCATGGAGGTGTTCCCGACACACAGTTGTAAATGGCTGTGAGTATGGTCTTGTGAGGATTGAATTTGATCTCCCATGTGTATTGTTTTTGAGCAGTATTTTGTATTTTATATGTTTAAAGATTTATTCATATTGGGGATTCATCCACTAGTAGGTAATCAGATTTGGTCATCAATATATTAGGATCTATTTGGTTTACAGTTGAAATAGGAATTGAAATCTATCAAAATCAGAATTAGAATGGTCTATTCCCATAATTTGTTTGGTTCAAATAGGAATTGAAATGATATTTCATTCCTAAGGGAGGGGAAACGAGAGAATGTATTCCATTAAGAATGGAAYGGGATTCTGACTCCACCCAACCAAACAGTTGGAATTGGAATGAAACCCTTATTCCTTCATCTACACCCACCGAACACCACTGCCGTGTGTTGGGAACATCTCCCAATGAATGAAAAGGGAGATATTCCCAATCATATGATGTGGGTTGAGATGTTAGAACAAGTAGTGGGTAGTAGATTTGAGCCCTATTCCTATGAAGCAAAGGGGGCCTCAATTTATTTTTTGCCCTTCTAAAAAATTAGTATTATTTGATATATTTTTTGTTTATCATTTTTTTCAAGTCACACCCATCTGTTATACAAAATTAAAAATAAAAAATATAAATATTAAATTTAAGTTGTGTAGTTGCAAAGGTTTAAACATTAATCATGGGTTTGATTCAACCCGAACCCAACTCAAACAACCTGATTAAATGAAATGGAATACTGAATCCAATTCAAACTCGCCCTACAAAATAATACACCTATACTCAACCAAAGTTCCATGAACAAATGTTTCAATGCTAACTGTCAATGGGTTGGATTAGCATCACTAACCCGACCCATTGACAACCCTAACTATGGTAATCCATTTTGTTTTTGAATAACAAATGAAATTCATTATTTAACTTCACAAAATTAAATAGTCCAAGAGTAATTGGAAATAAAAAATAATAGGTGAAATGGGAAGGCTTGTTGAAATATTTAAAAGTCGAAGGAAATTTTGTACATTGTCAGTAATTAAGAGAGGTTTTAGAAAATTTTACAAAAATGGATGTGTTCATTGTATTATGCTCAAATCCTTCTAAGAAAAGGGGAAATTGTACAAATTTCACCGTGACTTTTCAGAAAAAAAAAAAAAAAAAGCTTTTCAGCATTTCTCTTAATTTTACCATAATTTTTCAAAACTTTCAAGTAGGGGTGTCAATAGTATTCGAGAATCCGATTTCGAATTCGAGATTCGACATAATCGAATCGAATTCAAATAATTTGAATATTTAATTGGTCAAATCCGAATATCCTATTTATACCGAATAGTTAATCGGATTCGAATTTGGATATGACCTTATTCGATTCGATAAATATCCGAATTTGACCGATTAATTAATTATTATATATAAAATATAAAATATTTAAATGTCTTATATAATTTATATACTTTATATAAATAAAATATTTATTTTACATATATATTAAATACCTAAAATAATTAATTAATCAAATTCGAATCAAATCAAATATTTGAATATTTAATCAGATTCAAATTTAAATATTAATTTTTAATATTCATCGGATATCAAGTTTTCTAATCAAATTCAAATTCGAATATTGCTTGATCAGTTTACACTCCTACTTTCTGGAGACTCCATCTCAATAACTTGACATTAAACAAATTAATAGATGTTAATATATTACCATTTTACYCTTTATTATATTCGACCCATTTTCTAATATTCCAAAAATATCTTTATTATTATTTGACCCAAAACCCTTTTTCAGTTTCTTGGAATATTTTTAAGTAGCACAATGAGAGCAAAACGTTTTCCGAATATAAATCTTTATAAATATAAGGCAGTTGAGCGCTTAACAGCATTTCGTCATAAAAATATGTTTAATAAGGTAGCCGTTAAAATTGTATTTATAATGATGTGAATAAGTTCTGTCAATTAACATTAATGGTAATCTAACGGATTGTGACTTTTGGAAAACACATGGGCTTCCTGAACATATGGTAACTTGATAAGTTTAAAAGAAATAATTAAAAAAAAGAAAAGAGTAACAAGACACAAAGTACACTTCGAAGAGAAAGCTTTCTTCCTTGTTATTTCCTAGAAATTAATTAACCTTTTTTCTTTTCATATTTTCAGATTTGCCCTTCTCCGGGCCCCACCATCACTCTATCAGAGTTCGAACTTTGATCTTGAAGCTCTGTCTCAACAGCTACATTTTTTTACTTTTGGACTTCCCCCACGCAACTCCAGAATCCAGAAGCACACAGTGACACCGCGAAGGGTGATAGAGATAGAGAGAGCACAGAGGGGACAGTTGCAGAGGAGATGGAGAGGAAGGTTTTACTGGTTTGTCTTTCAGTGGGTTTTCTGGGGCTCTTAACAGCTGCTTTGGGGTTCGCTGCCGAGGCTAAGAGGATCAAGGTATGAGGGAGAGATGAGCCTTCCATAAACTGCTTTAGTAGATTGCTGTGAAGTTAGTACCCATCTTCAATGGGTTTCATTACGGGAATCTTTTATGTCCTTTGCAGTACCATTTTGTTAATATGAACATTGGGTTCTACCATTTCTTCTGACTTGCTTGCAGATGTCTTATGTGATTATAGTTCTGTGTCTGAATCTCTCTCTCCTCCCCTGTATCCCGCTGGAACTTTTCTTTTTTCGCATTTAAAGAAATAAGAAGCAAAATTGCTTGCTTTCTACGTGTTTGGTTTCCCCCTCGAAATTCTTTCGGGTATTAGTCATTTTGGTAAATGAGTAATATTTGAGTTGAGCCTGTTGATGATACAAACTGTTTAATTTGTCAGATCCTCCCGAAGGGTATATACATCCATCTTATTTTGGAGAAGCGGCTTCGGTTGGTTTTCTACTTGGATGTCATCTTCGACGAACATTTTTTTCTAATGTTTTCTGAGATTGATTTAATATTTGGAACAATCTATTATGGTCAGTCTGATTTATTGCTAGACTCAGTTAGAGCAACCGATCCTTCTATTCTTTTGCTTTTTCTTTTCTATTTGGTTTCATGGTTTTTTGCTCTTCTTGTTCTACTCTGGCTTGGTCATTCTAGGCAGCAAAAGGTTATTAATTCCATGCGTGAAGTTCAAGTAGCGTTATGTTTTCTGTGTCATTAAAAAATCAAATATATTGATGAATGCCGTTAAATTCTTACCAAATGAAAATTGAAATGAACAGGTCTTAGGCTGAGTTTTGTGGAAATTATGTAGTACTTGTTGCTGGAATCTTATGCCAGTAGTTTATGACACTGTGCTGTTACTATTGTTGAAGCTTTTCATAAGTGTGTTGTATCGGCACAGTGACGAGAACCAAAATCTGATGCATCTCCTGGAGTCTGACTCGGCAAAACTAGAAAATAAGGACTCGTGTATAAACAAGTATGACCTATTAAAAGTACTCCATAGTCTATATTTTATTGAAGTTTAACATTATAAACCTATACAAATGCTTTTAAAAGGTTGTCTTGGTCACTTAATAACATTTTGTAGGAAAAAAATGACATTCAATATCACATTCAAGGTTCAAAGTATCGACACAGGCCAATACGCCAGTATCGATAGGGTGTATCGGCCTGTATCGGTACTGTTTTTTAAGTTTTATTTATTTTTTTCAAAACCGGTTCAGAGGGTTCGGTTTAAGGCCCGGCTACCTTCTGAACCATGGTCTGACCTGATACAACCCCTGGAGGAGCGTATCGGGAAGCCATCGGCACGATATGTATCAGCCGATACGTGTTGATACTTTGAACCTTGATCACATTAACCATTTGTTTATGTCAAATAAGCAATGAGAGAGAAAAATGTCATGTAGAAATGCCCCTCAAGAATCCATGGAATGTGGAAGTCTGATGTGCATCCAACAAGGACATTTCTTCCATTTAGGACTTAAAGCCTCTGACCTTAAGTTCCATTTTATTCTTCCCTAGGGTTAGTTGGATTGACTGACCTCGTCCACCGTTGAAAAAATTTCGGCATATAATTTCTATAAATTAGAATATTGCATTTTTTACTTTTAGAGGAATTCTAAACAACATTGGCTCTGAATTTGGTGGCATCACTAATGGCAAATAGGTTGGAAAATTTCTTTCCCTAGTTGGTGTAGGAATAGATGTGGTCTTGGCATGGATCTATCATAAATGTTTTCTCTCCTAGGAGCTAGTTGACTTAGGGTTTCAATTTTCTGAGATGATTAGTCAGTGAATCAGGGTTTTGTTTCTTATGGCTTTTATATGAAGGAAAGGTTGAAAATTAGAGAAAGTAGAGTACGAGGAATGAGGCATGGAATATGATTTTTAGATGTTCTGTATAATTGGTCAATTCCATTATTCCAACTTGTCTTGTTCTTTGTGTTTTTCAGATATTCGATACCTATGTGTGTACTTGCATGTCGTTTTATAGATTTATTTTGTACAGTCATGAAATGGTGTAGTATTTAAACTTACATTATCTTTTAATCAATGCTTTGCCAAATACTTATTCAAAAAAACGATGCTTTGCTAAACTATTCCAAGATTAACGAGATAATGGTTGATGATGCTTAATTTGTTCATGAATAGATTTTAAACCTTTTTAAATTCCTTTTAAGAAGGTGGTAAGATTATACTTTCATTTGATATATGAAAAGAAATCTGAACATGAGGGATATTTACAAAATATACAAAGTATGCACTAGAGCACAATCGCTCAAGAACAACAAAATTATGCAAGCGCAGGGATATGAGTATTGAGTATACAGAAAAGCTTTTTCTACACTTTGTTTTATAAGGCTATTTTCAATTGAGCTTAGTTCCCTCTCAATCCAACTGATTTCTATTGGAATAAATTAGGCATATATTGCTCTTAAGGTAATATCCTAGCTTGTCCTGCCCCTTGATTGCTCTTAGGGTTATGGGTAAGAGATCAGCTGTATCATTTTACTTTTTGTTGTTTCTTATAAAAGTTGATAGACCATTACTAGTGCACAAGCACCAATAAAAGTCCTAAGGAGTCAGGACCTGTCAGACCCAAAGCATAGGAATAGGATAGTTGTATTACCTTTAGGCCCATATTACCTGTATCGAAAGGCAAGTTATCTTCAGAGGGGAAACCGCTCAAGTTTCCAGATAATGCATCAAAGGTGGCAGATCCTGGTCAAGATAGGTCTTCGGGAGTGGAAGAAGATCAGACATCAGAGGATTATTAAGTTTGGCGTCTTCTAATGTAAGGGAAGATGCTGCAACTGTTGATTGTAGTATCAAAAGAAGCTGATGCTCAATATCAGTGTATCTAGTAGTGGTGTGAAATTGCAGTTGGGTTTGGTTGAACTTTAAAGAAACAGCATATGAGGATGATCTGGAAAAGGATTCTTCTTCAGCCTGTACCTGTGATGAGTCTCCATCTGTCAAGATAATTGTTTCAGAGATGAAAAAAGCAAGAAGATGCTATGGGTGCTCCAAGGGAGAGGGAGGTTAAAGCTGAAATTACTCATATTCAGAAGGACGTTGTTCATGCTCATGCCTTGGAGACTAACTTGTCAGTTCTGAAAAATGTAGGGGATGAAATGAAGGGGGAAAAAGGAGCTGAAAACTCCAAGGAATTTGAGAGTCCATGTGGGGAGGCAGAGATGGTGGAGCATGATTCTTTTTCCCAAGTGTTTATGGAAATTTGTGAATGGATCTAGGGATGAAAAGAGATACAAATATTATTGTATTATCTAAAATAGATGATGATAATGTGGTAATTGTGAAAAAACCAAAGGGTGCAAATAGTGGTCATTTAGTCCATGTTACCAAAGTATTCCATCAGTTGAATGTAGGTCTTTATGGGGTTGGTCCTTGTAGTAAGTACAAGAGCACATGTAAGAGGAACGGAGTAAAGGACAGAAACTGAAACAGAACCTTATTATAAGCAGCAGTGACACAGAATTGGTGAAGAGAGAGGTTTCAGGAGCTGGAAAAGAAGTATCCTTTGAGCGAGGAAAGTTCTAATGGGGAGATATGAGTAGTGGAAGGGTTGAATATGATATAAAGGTGTAGGGGTGAGCTTTTTCTGGATTCTGAGGTTTATGGGTCTTGGTAGAAAAGTTTTTAATATTTTAAGGATTGGGAATGAAAAACCGTATTCTAAGGGGTTATTGGAGAGCTCTGCTGTTATGGGCTCTGAGTTTTCTCTTTTTTGTTTTGTGATCGCTTGTCACCTTGTTTGTAACCTTTTCTTCTTTGATAATTTTTTTTATCATTACAAAAAAAATAATAATATTACATGTATCTCTATCCAATCAACACACTAGCTACATACCCCGAATTGTTGGCCCACTAAAGCCCATCAATACCTATAAACTTCAAACTTTGGTCTTCTTTTACCCCTCTTCACACAAGGACCCTTGGTATTCTCTAGGAATTATTCTATTCAACCCTAAGCTACTCGCAGCTAACTGACCTTTAGAATTCTTACCTCCAACTTCTTCACTATTACCCTTTATTTGCACTTAACTACCAAAACTATCCCTGCCACCTGATGCCTCGTCTTCCACCTTGGTTCCTGTAGAGGTAGTTTAATCCACCTCTCTATTGTTATTTCTGCTAAGCTGCACTGGATAACATGGTGATTTATTTGTGTTATTGGTGTGTTCAAACTTCAAAGTTGGATATGATAACAAGTTTCTCTGCACCAGACCAATAAAAGAAATATCTGAACCAGCTTCTGTTATCCATATATATTGCTGTGCATGTAGCAAGTAAAATCTGGTATTTTACGTATACATGGGTATCAACCATGGCACTGTACCTTTGACTTGGTATTTATTGATTTGGAGAAAAAGTAGAGAAAGCATATGATGGGGGTGCCTAGGGACATCCAAGGGAATAATAGTAACTAGCCTTGGCATTATCTGCTTTATCCCCAAATAAATAGGGTTGGCAGCAGAAACCCCTGGGTGCTATTTAAAAAATCTTATATGATTGTAAATATATTGCAATTCAAATTTGCCTTCTTGTGTGTCTCCTAGGCTGAAGTAAAGTAAAGTACTTATTGCACCCTAATTATTGGTTGCTAACATTCCTCCTATATTTGGTGCATCCTTCACTTCAGCCTAAGAGACACACTAGAAGGCAATTTTGAGTTGTTTTTTTTTCATGGGTCCCACCATTATGAGTTTATTCTTCCAGTATGTCTTTTAGAGGCAGTGAGTTCAAGTTATGCACCTTGGGTTTACCTGCTTGCATCACCTTTGTGTAACCCAAAAGATACAAAAAACGAGTTGAGAAATTAATGTGGTTGGATGGAGAAAAAATACCAATGGTTGGATGGAGAAAAAATACCAAAAACAGAGAAAAACCCCTTCAGACAAAGCTCTTGTAGTGTTGGCCTGTTGCATCTGTTTTTGTAGTCCATAGACAAACATAATGTCCTCTGGCTGGCATAGGTCAGGTTAGTCTAAGTAACAGAACACTAATAAACATCCACAAGGAAAAGCCTGGGGGCTACAATCAAGTAGGCATATCAGATGCAAAATCTAATTGCATGTCGGGTTTCATGTTTATCACAAATCAGTGTATGGATGTGCATGTGGTGAACTGGGTCATATATCTTTATATACTAATTCAAATTCTGGTCTGAGATAGCTTTTGCTTCTAAATCTTGCAGGGTTCTCAAGTTCAAGTTACTGCTCCTGATATGTGTGTGTATCCAAGGAGCCCAGCCATGGCCCTTGGACTTATTGCATGTGTATCCCTTATGACTGCACAGTTTATTATCAATGTTGTAGCTGGGTGCATTTGTTGCAGAACTTCTCATGCTTCAACATCCAATTGGACTGTGGCTTTAGTCTGCTTTGTTGTTTCCTGGTAAATTATTTTGACTACCAATTTGGTTGCATTTGATGTTGTTCCTTGAAAAAAGCCGTCTTACTCTTCATCATATCTGTTCTGTATGTCATTATAACATCCAAATTAACTTACGGCATGAAAGGCTTGCAGCAAGCCATGTTAGACTCCAATTGTGAATTTATGGAAAGTTCTCATCTTGAAGGTCATTGGAACTGCCACTTCCAAATTCAACTAGTTTCCCCCTGCACCAAGGATATTTCTTCTCTTCTTTAAGATTCATCCAGTATATTTTCCTGTAGGTAGCCCAGAGATTAACTTTGGAACCTTTTTTTTTTGTTTGCCTTGTTTGACAATGATAAGAACATTTTCCAAATTTGTGGAGTCGGATTGTATTTTGCTGGAATAGCTCAAGCCTTAGCTTAATAATTTATGCAAGGAAAGATTAATGCACATTTGAAAAGTACATAGGTCTTTAAATTAAGGAAAAAATTAGCAGAATGATCATATTAAGAGGAAAATAATGTCTAAAGATCATCCCTACAAATTGAATTTGGGGTTGAACAAATATCATTCCTAGATTGTTTCCACACCCACCATCCATACAATGTTGACTATTTTGACTAAAATGCATCCTTAACCAGTCTTGGTTGTGTTTCTATTCTCTTTCTTCTCTTTGGGATTTAGATAATTCAAGCTTCTACTTGGGAATTCATTTATGGCAGCTCCGTTTCATATCAATCATTTGTTTTAAAATCCACTTACTAGGTTAGAGTCAACAAAATTGTTTGTGTGTTTTCTGGCCTTGGTATAGAAAAGACTTTAGGTCTTAGGCCTTGCAGTCTATCTCATTACTTATATGTGACAGAATATGGAAATTGTTAATTAGAATAAATTGTGGAAATGAACTTTGTTTCCTACAGTTTCCAGAGATGGAGATTACTAATGGATCTCAATTTTAAATAGATCATTTTCAGATGAATTGATGCATTTAGTTTGTTATCATCATTCAGGTTCACATTCGTCATAGCATTTCTATTACTGCTAACGGGGGCTGCATTGAATGATCAACATGGTGAAGAGGGAATGTACTTTGGCAGCTACTGCTATGTGGTAAAGCCTGGGGTCTTCGCAGGAGGAGCTATCTTGTCACTGGCAAGTGTTACCCTTGGAATCCTTTATTACCTCACCATAATATCTGAAAAGAACAGGACTGAGGCATGGGGGGGCTCTCCCCATCCTAATCAAGGAGGCATTGCTATGGGACATCCTCAGTTCCCAACTCAGACAACCCAAGAACCAGTCTTTGTGCACGAGGATACATATAACAGGCGGCAATTCCCTTGATGTCTAGATGAAAAATTCACCCCCAAGCACCAATTCTTAGCTAGTTCTGTTATTGGGTTAGCTAGTGTTGTTGAATCTGTATAGCCAACAATTTATGCATCAATGTGTACATCAAATGTCAGGAGACGATTACTTTGGGGGATCTTCTCCCTCCATGTGCTATGCCCAGTAAGATCAGCTCTTTTTTTTGGGTTGAGTTAGGATTACAGATATGGATAAATACCTCACTTTATTTTCTTTTTTCTTTTTCTTGTTGCAACCTCAGCTTTATTGTAATACACTGTACCTTTTCATTATTGGTGACTAATATAAAGAAATATAGATAAGCACCAAGATCATGCTTACTATTTGAGAATTGCTTTTTATATTTTGTGGTCAGAACTAAAGTTGGTTTACCAGACTCTTAATTCATTTCTATTCAGTTGTTGGCCAAATGCAGATGAGTCACCAATCTTAGACCTCTTTCGTAAAATACTTAACGTATCTTCTCAGGAGTACATGGCAAAATACTTAAGGCTGCATTTGGATGCGATGTAAATCAAGATTTTGCGTTGGTTTGGTTTTGTATGCGTTTGGAGGGTGTAATTATTATCGACATAAAACTATCCTCTGGTTCAGTTTTGCGTGCGTTTGGATGGAGTGTAGTTTCATGTTGATAATCGATGTAAAACCTCATCAACTCTAAAGTTTTACAACAACAATCAATATAAAAGCTACATCGATTTTATCGATGTAAAACTTTACACTCTACCGCAATCTACTAAAAAGGATTTATCCTACTGTTACTAAGTTGACAGAGCAGCAGCATCCTGAACCTATTTGTCTGGGATCCAAGCCTATTTCTCCTGCATTGTGCTAAAGCCAAGGTTCAAAGTAATGATACTTTGATATGCAAAAGGTTGGGGAAATCCTAGAAAACTTAACATAAGCACAAAAAAAGGCCTAGATTTAACAAAAAATAGTAAATGCACCCATGTTTTCATGCATCTAACAATGTTTTCTTACAGAATATGATGATCTATGAACAAACATTTGTTGATCCAAAATGACTATGATCTGATATTTTATGCTATCTTTGCCTCAAGTCTTTCCTCACAAAGCTTGAGAATGAAAAAACACAGACACACATTTGAAGTGGTTGACGTATTTTAGAAGTTCTAGGAGTTGTAGAAATTGTTGCATCAGAATAAGTGAAATCGAGATAGTTAATAAGAAAATTAGAAATGTGACATCCTCTTATCCTTTTAGATGTGTTTACAAGTTTTGCTTTAATGTAATTTTTGACCAGGCATGAGTTTAGGGAAATAGAGAGCATCACACAAGAGCTGAACATAACCTTTAAGTAGGTCAGAAGGACAGCAAATGGGATGGATGACACCCTAGCAAAGCAAGAGGTATATAGGCAACAGATGTTTTGGGCACCATTGTAATTCCCTTTTCTGAAATGGGACTGGAATGAATCCTTATAGGTGGACACACCATGTCCTTGTAATAACCAGATTATCAGTTTAATATAATCCAATTTTCTTGCTGACCAAAAAACACACCCATGAATTTTGATCAGACCTGCAAGGTCTGATCCAATGCATTTCTGCAGCACACCTGGTTAGTAGCCATGGGAAATCCCTTAAGTGTGAGTCATTTGTCCTTTATACGGAGGCAAAGTTGATTGACCTTTTTCTCCTAATGATCAAGACGCTAAGATTATCAGTTTAATATATAATCCAATTTTCTTGCTACACCCATGAATTTTGATAAATAGCACCTGATTGGCTACCACGTTTATGATTCCAGTTGATTGGTCAGACTTTTTCCGGTACTTTAGTCGAACCCGTTTATTGCAAAGTGGGAGGGGGGTGCGTTAAATGCCTAAAAAACATTGCAGGTAAGCAACCTGCAGTGTCTGTTCCAATGCATTTCTGCAGCACACCTGGTTAGCCATGGGAAATCCCTCAAGTGTGAGTCATTTGTCCTTTGTTTTATTATACGGAGACAAAGTTGATTGACCTTTTTCTCCTAATGATCAAGACGCTAAGTCTTGAAAACTTTGTTATCTAAATTACAGATAAAGAAGAGAGGCATCGCTGCATCCATGGATGCTGGCTTCCTGTAGTGAATGCCTAGATGAGACTTCTACAAGGGGTGATATGCTTTGTCATTTGATGTTGCTTTTTGTACTCAATTTGTTGTATGTGTTTCAGAAGGATTGCAGTACTGAGAAGAAAGGATCAAAGAAACAGCATTTACTACTGTAATTCTTCTTTTGTTCTTGTAGTTTTCTTTGTTTCTTTGTTTCTTTGTTTCTCTTGTTAAGGAAGTCCTTTTATTACCAAAAAAGAAAAAAAAAAGAAAAGAAAGAAAGAAACATTTACTAGAAGACTTGGGACTTATGATTCAAGGATTTATGCTTAAAGACCAAGTGAGGGATTTCAGATGCTCCTTTAGAAATCATTCCACAATTTTCAAGTAAGTGGGAGAGATCATGTGAAATGGGGCGTTTATCAACAATCAGATGTCAAAAGATGCTGATTACACTTTCAGAAAGGTTTTACCTGAAGATGTTGATGTACCTTGCATGAGAAAAATTAGAAAAGAGTTGATGGGATCATCTACATATCAAAGCTAAGCTCTTGATATTCATGTAGCTGCGAAGATAAATAAATAGTCGAAAAGAAAAAGTTTTCTTTGGAGCTTTGCAAGAATAACAGAGGCGCAATAAATGCAACTGGGCAAAATCCATTTTTAACCAGAATAACGTCACTAGGCAGGCTGCTCTTCTGCTGTCTGAGACCATAAAGTTTCAACCACACATGAGAAGCAGCTGAACCAAAAAAGCATCATTTATTCCATTGGAATCTGGTTCAATGAATTTTATTTAAATTGCAAGTTGCAAGTAGGTCCCAGCTTTTTCTAGCTTCTTTTTTGTTTTGCAAAGCAATAGCCCTGCTTAATTCTTTTGCAAAAAAAATGCCAATACACAAGACAAGGAAAATGGCAATGATCAGAAACTGCACAATCAGTACACAATGACATCTCTCTTTTTACGTGGTAAAACCCCCAAGGAGGAGGAAACATCCACGAAGAAAAATAATTTAATTTATTGATAATGAAGTTACAATCAATATGTAAATGTAATTTGATTGGATTTACAATGCCCTTCTCTAGTTTGTCAATTCTTCAAATACAATGAGGATTTCTAACCAGAGAGATTAGATTGTTCAGTCAATCAAAAAAGAAAGGATGGAAGAAAAAAGAGAAAAAAAAAAATCTACTTTAGAGCCTTTTGAAAGATCAAATATACCTTGAAAACTTGAATATATGTAAAAAAAAAAAAAAAAAAAGCTTTCAGAATTAGTGGGAATTAAGGAGAAAAATAAGGAAAAACATAAATTAAGAAGAAGAAGAGGAAGAATATACAAGTATATAATTATAGAGTCTAACAAACTGTTAGGAATTTACCTGCAAGAACAACCAGATTGGAAAAGAAATTAGGACCAAATAATAATTATAACTGAAAGTTTGTTTATACCTGAAAATCTGAAATCGTGTAGCAGAAAACAACCTCCAATTTCTCCCAGGTCACCAATGATGAATCGTCACCTGATGCGATTTATATTAGAAAATGGCTCGGAATTCGTTTTGGATGTAGGTTTTGCCACCTCAGGATTCCCGAAAACATTCCAAAATCTTAATGTTTCATCAGCTGCTGCGGATGCCACTGTGCAGCCATCTGGACTCTGAAAAGAATTCAGGTAAGGTCAGCAAAGTAAACAATCATGACCAAGGAAGAAAAATGATAATTCTCATTTAAATATAACAAAGTTATCATTTACTTTCTTTGTATCAATACCTGAGCCATGAAAAGAACTCTTGATGTATGCCCAGTAAGCTCTGCAATCTTCACCATGGATGGGTACTTCCAGAGGGTGAGTTGATTCTGGGTGAACCCATGAGAGCTCAGCAGTTCACGCTCATTTGTATTCCACAGCAAAGAACAGACTTGTGAGCCTGTGTCCACTGAGTTCAAGCATGCACCTGTGTGGGTGTTCCAGAATTTTATGCACTCATCTCCTCTTCCTCCTCCAGAAGCAAGCAAATTACCCTGGAAAGGACACCAGGCAAGAGCTTTTACGGCAGCTGTGTGGTCTTCAAGTCTGTGCAGCCACTGGGTAGGAGAATTTGAAGATGCCACTGATCGATCCCATATGTAGAGCAGATTATCATTTCCTCCACTCGCTAGCTGCTGGCCTGATGCCGACCATTTCAGCCCACAAACCTCTCTGTGGTGTCCTCTGTAGGTTTCAATAATATGAGATCTTACTCTCACATCATTGTTGATGATCAAACCATCCATTGCCCCGGTTGTCAGGATATGATTGTTCCAGTCGAGTGAACCCACTCTAGCTCGGTGCCCACCTTGCAGAGTTCTTAGCTGTAAGAACAATTCAAAAGACAAAGTAAGAAGAAAAAATCATTACACAATGTACAGAAAATAAATTAGAAACCCAATGAGATATAGATTATCTAGACAGAGAAGGCATGAACCTTTCGATTAGCTACTGTATCCCAAAGCTGAACATCGGCATTGTTAAGGCCAATGGCAATGTGTCGTCCATCGGGAGCCCATCGAACACTTGTAATTGGACCATTCTCATCGTCAATCGTCATAAGTTCAGTAGTGGATCCATCTGTGGCATCCCACAAATATAAAGTGTTCCCAAGAGCAATTGACAGAACGTTACTGCTACCCCAGTCCAGTAAATTCAAGTAGAAATCGTCCAGAATATCAGGGGCATCCAGTGTCTTCTCTGAGCTCTGTACAAACAAGGCGGATAGAAACAGATGAAATTAGAGAAACTGTGAACGCCAGAGAACGAAAGAAAATAGGTAAGAAATGAGAAAGAAAGGAACCCACCTGAGGAATGTGCCTTCGAGGCTTTATGGGTTTTGATTGGGGAAGAAAAGACGACATTTCATGAGGTACCAGCTCGACGGGTGTGGGTGGCTTGTTCTTGAAAGCAAGAATCCTGGTTCTGTTCATGTTGAAAACCTCTGCCAATTGCTTCTGATAAGCCTCTTTCGCAGGAGAACTTGCAAGGGGGTTTTCTTTCCCCTTCCTCCCCTCTGTAAGCATGTAATGAGCGAAATCGAAGTCCATTGCGGATCGATTAGGGATAAATCTGTCAAACTTCGTATTGCAGAAAATTAGAAGGAAAACATCATCAGGGAAAATGATTCACTAAAGCAAAACCTTAGAGAAAAACGTGATGAGTTACGCGAAGACTCCAAAATTCAGAAAGAATTTAGAAAAAGAAAATGAAATACGTGAAATGAATTTTCGGAATTGGGTATCAAAGAATTTTAATGATCCACATACATTTTCACGCGAGTTTCTCCTTTGAAGGAGCTGCTCTTGAAGGGGGTTTCTAGATTGAGATTTGCTCGGAGAATTGAAAGAACCTGCATCCATTGTGATGAAAAGAAAAAAAAAAGGAAAGAAAGCACCTGCAGAACGAATAATTGAAGAAAGCAAAGAATGAAGCCTGCAAAACACCAAACCAGATGAGATGAAACCAAAGAAAACCCAAATAAAGAATGTAACAGAGAACAAAACGATGGAGATGATTGAAGGATTTCGTGATCTCTGCTGATCTTTGAGCGCGTTTGAGACTGTCCGGTGAGCTTTGCGAGAGCAAATGTTTTTTTGCATTGAATTTATCCATGTTATAACCGCTAGTGCTGATTTGAGAAAGAAAGAGCCGTTGGATTTTCAGACCAAAATGCCCTCCCTATTCTGATCAATTCCAGTTGCATTTCGTTTTATCCAGATTCTAGCAAGTGCTTTCGGAGGGTATTTTTGACAGAATGGTACCTCCAATATTCCAACCCCTTCGGTTACGAAGACAAGGCGGCGTTTCAGTGATGTTCGAAAGGGTCATAAGAACTAAGAAGTGAAAACATTTTCTCTAGGCTCTGTTTGTTTGCAATCCAATTTTATTTACACTAAACCAAATGCATGTGGATACAAATCAGTAGAGTATAAATTCTGATTCATTCTTGTATGGGGTTTTACTCTGCTTTATGTTTCATTTCACTTCATTCACACCGACAATAAACAAAACAAAGTAAAATTTAAAACAAAAAAAAAATCAGGAATTGCATTCAACTCATTTGCACTCCCGTACCATTGCACTGGTGCAAATGAGATTGCATTGTAAATAAATTAGGCCTTGAAAGATATAAAAAAGAGGTGAAGAAATTGGGCCTTCCCAAACGTTACCCAAGGTCATCAGTTTGGACTAGGGCCAAAGATGGGGATTCAACGTCTCGGGTTGGGCTAGGTCAAGGTTGGGGTTCAACAACACTCCTACAAATTCTTATCCATGATAATTTTCTGTGAAGGAAATCAAAGAAAAAAGAGAGAATGAGGCTACTAGCTTTACTTTTTATCAAACTCAAAATTGGATTAGACACTCAGACCATAAACCAAGAACTATTTGCTGTTCCAATTTTTTAGACAATGTTTAGAATCAATGCCATTTCTTTGCAGGCGTTTTTTCGAAAACTGTGCTGTATTGACATGCCATTTTCTCAAAAAAAAAGAAGCGTTTTTTTTCATTTGATACTGTTGTTGCTGTTACAGGAGTTTTTCAATGCCATGTCAGTATATTGTTGCTAGTAAACACCAAAAAAAATGTTTTCTCAAACCACACCTTTCCCAATTTACAAGATGTTGTCTAAGAAAATGTTTTTTTCAGAAAAAGAAAAAAAAAACGAACATTAGGCGTTGTGTGAAAATGGATTTCAGACATGATACTGATGTGGTGTTGTTTTTGAAGAAACAACATTGGTTCCAAACACCGATTTTTCAAATGTGTGTGTGTGTGTGTCAAAACGTCATTGTGATCATCTAAAAGCCCTTACACAGTCCTATCTCTCCATTCCATTATGTTTAATGCCATATCCATTGTAAAATTATTATCATTTAAATAATTTCTTTTTACTTTCTTTCATTTCATGGTGTATGTGTGTGTGTGGACCACCTCTAGCCCTTCTAATTCCTTCAATTTGTAATGCGTTGCTTCTTATAGGTGTTGTAGCCTTGTAGGTGATGTTTAATCCATATAACCAAACCATCTTAATCTACTCTCTCTCATTTCATCACCTAGTGGAACTATTCTTAAATTCTTTCGTATGTTAATTTATATCATTTCTAGTTTTTTCTACTTGTCTATTTCAACATATGCATTTCTACTACACTCATTTTTTCGATATATTTCTTGGTTATCCAACATTTGCTCTATACAACATAGTTGGACTTACAATAATTGTTTTATAGAAATTTCTTTTAATCTAAGTGATATTCATCTATTACATAATACTCTGGATGCGCCCTTCCATTTGTCCATTCTCTAATTCTATAAGTGGCATCTTCCTTAATATATCCCTTATTACAAACTATCAAACCAAGTACTAGAGTTATCTTATGGTTTCCAATCCTAAGTGTGCCTTGATTTGCACTTCTATTATTGTTAAATTTTATATTTTGTTTTAGCCCCATTTAATGTAAAACCTCTTGTTTTTAAGGTAGTTGTCCATAAACTTAAATTTGCATTTAATCCTCCATTAGTTTTAACAATTAAAACAATGTCATCAATAAACAACAAGCACCACTAGACCTATAAATATGTTTAGTCAATTCATATATGATCAATGCAAAATTGCAAATAAATAGGGGTTGTAAAAAACTAAAAACTCATCTAACTATAAAATCTAATGTTTCTCCCACAAGTTTCTAACATGGGTTGTTGCATCTTTAGACATATCCTTAATTAGGTTTACATACTTATTTGGAAATACCCATATCTTTTCTAAGACCCATCATATGATCTCTTATAAGAATTTGTTATATGTTTTTTCTTTCTAAATTACTAAACACCACATGAAGATCTTTCTTTTCCTCTATTAATTTTTTTCAAAAGAAAGATAATTTTCATAATTGATCTCTTTGACATAAACCCAAATTGGTTCTCTAATATACTTATTTCATGTCATWACCTTTGTTCACTTATTTTCTCACAAAATGCATATTGTGGTTCATGAGTTTAATCAAACAATAATTATTATAACTTTGTATATTGCCACTATTTTTAAATGCAGTCACCATATTAGACTACTAAGATGGTGCTTATATTTAAGAATAAAGGCAACATGAACACCATATTACTCTTTATCCAATATTTGACAAAAACATGATTTAAAATATTCTAACCCAAATCACTTGTGTTAAATTCAAGAAAAAAAATAAGCATTTTACCACTAAAAACTTTATTTGGGAAAATTTTAACCACAAAATTTCATCATTACATGGATTGAAGATAAAAGAATGTAGAAAGTTTTATGGTATTTAATATCAATTAAGCAAAATTAATTTCAAGATGAAGGAAAAAATAAAACCTTTTTACTTTTTACCTCATTTCTTGATTTGTATTATAGTTAAGTGGTGATATAAGAAAAGCACAATGAAGTCAGTGGAGTCACAACATCTCTTTCGTCTAATAAGATTAGCAGGAAGCCCAATTATAATAATAGTAGGCAATTCTTTACATTTGTTCWGAAGAAATAAATTAGAGATCAGCTAAGTACATTCATTAATATTGATTGCACATTAATCACATTAAAGTCTACTTACTTTTCATTGGTTGACATTTGATAATATAATTTAACCTTTAACAATATGTATTTACCATCATGTTCAACCAATCACATCTTTTGTCGCACAATGGAGTATTCTATACATTTTGCCTAAAGATTAATGATGATGCACAATCTGGCCGGTCTTAGCTGTCGATGATCTTGCCTCTGAACTGAGTAACAGGGACCTGAAA